GTTCTCAGGGCTTCTATCGCAGATGATTAGCAAGAGCTGGCACTTCGTGTCCTTCAACTGCAGACTTAAAATCCAGCACTGTAACAATAACGGCAGGACAGGAATGACTGCTTAGCTGCAGATTTGCAAGATACTCTTCAAATGTCATCAGAATAATAATAACAAAAAAAAAAATCCCTTAAAATGTAAAATTTGTCTGTACAAATACAGTGTTTTGGTGTGCAACCAGGAAGGTCACCACAGGAGGGAAGCAGTGCTTCACTTTTGTTTCTTTAGTAGTCAAGGCTAATTTATTTTTTAAAAAAAATATATTTTGACCATTAGAAAAACCTCCCTGATGTGACAAAGCAAGAAGTATCTCTTATTCAGAGAATTTAAGTTGACAGGAGCTGGTTGGGACAGTGGGTTAAAAACCCCTGCTTTCAGAACAGCTTGCAGAATTCAGAATTCATTAAAACTGAGAAGAATGTTTAAAGGGAGAAGCAGCAATAAACCTGTCATGAAACAGAAAATGGAAGTGGACAGCTCACTCACCAGATGCCTTCATGTGTTCCTGTCATGACCACACCTCCTGGCCAACAGCTAATACTTGAAGATATATGGTCCCTCTACCCTGTTAAAAAAATTGGTTTGTAAGTTCTTGATTTCCAGTGCAGACAGGAGATGGAACTTGCAGTGGAATTGCTTATGTACCTATAACCTGAAGTTATAGCAACTCTTTTCCTGCAGAAATTTAAGAATTTGAGAGAAATAACTTCTCAATGTTTTGGTTTTAAAGACATGAATGAAGAGAGAAATGTCTGATTAAACTCTGGGCTGCTTAATTTGTCTATTTTCAAGGTTTTAAGGCTAAAAAGCAAAATATTTCCATGGTCCCTGTAAAATAACATTGGTGCTGAAGCACTCAATGAAAAAGGAGCCTTTCTCCAGCAGACAGGCTGGGGCCAGAGGGTAGTGCCACTGGTGCGTTGTGGGCAAAGAAAAACTGCCAGCAAGGAATATGTGGGGGAATTGTGTGGGTTTCTGCAGTAGAAGCTACCACCTCTGGAGATTCCTAACAGTCATCTCTGATGCTGCACATTAAATGGTGATTTTTAGCTTTTCTAGTGACCCATTTTCTATAGCAGTTGAGGATAGAAACACATAGCTTTGCAGAAATGTATAAAAGAAAGCTGAAACACCACCATTCCTTCTGTTATTAACAGAGATAAAGAGCCTGCGAAAGTAGTCCTTAGGAACAGAAGCTGGGCTTGACACGGGTCAGGAGATAAATGTAAACTGCTCTTCACAGCAATACACCTTCCAGTTGATGGAATTTCCCTCAGAAGCTCAAACTTGCCATCCCAGCTTTTCCTGTAGCAGAGATGTGTGGCAAGGCTTTGGGAGTGGGGGGTGCGCTCCTGGCAATCTGCTGGAGGGGGTGCACTGCCGGGGGGCACGGGGAGGCACAGGCAGGGCCAGGCAGATGTTCCCTCTGTTTACAGTCGGCCTGCTCTGGACGTGCTGATGTCTGCTGGGGTTCCTCAACCATTGGGACCCTTCTATGCACTAGATTTCTTTCCCTTGGTCATTCTAGGAAAACAAACTCTACCCAGTTTAACATCATTTTGACACAGCTCTGCGGTCTCCAGGTGGTGGATTGGTACCAGTTGCTTTGGATTGGCTTTCTAAGGGATGGATTGTATTAGCTTGGAGTCAGCCCAGAAGTCACTGTTGGGAATTTTGGAATGGGACCTGGCGTTCCTCAAAACCACATCTAAATATAAGTGCTGTGCTTCATATGGGGGCAGGGGAACCTCCATCATGTCACCTGTGAAAATGAGGCTACAGCTTTCATTTGCTTTCAGGAAGAGAGCCATGTGAAAGTAAATCTGAAAATAGCAACTTGCTAAATTTCTTCAGATTCTCTGAGGAGGAAGAAGAGCTCGGCGTCACATGGTGGTTGGGCTCCACAATTCTTTCCTGCTTCTGCTTCCTACGAGACCTTTGGCAAACAACCTCATCTTTCGTGTCTCCCTTTCCCATCTGTTGAAAAAGGATGAAAGAAATCTGGGTAAACTTTCACTTCCAGTGATAAGACTTTGATACTATAGTCCTGGATAGCACTGATAAAAATCAAAATGTTGATGCCTGAGATAGAAGTTTCAGCACTGGTGCAATTTGTCAGCATCTCATACTTGTTCCCACGCAAAGATGAATCATCAGAGAACAGGGATTTATCACACTGTATCATCGTGTGATGGCAAAACCCACCACCATTGACTGCAAGCAAACAGTGAGATCCCAGTTGGACAGAAAAACTGGTGAAGTATACAGAATATTTTAATATAGAGGAATATATCGGAAATAATCTTGACAATGAAAATACAGATCCATTTAGGGCTTTTCTACATGCTTCATTCCTTGGGCCATGAACCCCATTGCTTAGCCCTCCTGGTACTGAATGCAGTCCAGTAGCATCTCGTGCCAAAGGAAAACACTTTAGCTCTTAGCACTGTAGGGTTTATGACTCACAAAGAATTGTTTCCAACCATATAGGGTAGTTGTCCCTATGTGGAATAGTCAATTCATTACACCATTTAATTTGTGAAATGACACTTCTGATCTTCAAAGTGTTTTACATCCCACACATTGCAGGCAGTTAACAAGTAATAAAGAGTAAGAATTAATTAATCCTAGCCATACCCCCAAGAGATATGTAGACAAACATTAATCTACCAGTAGAAATAGAGCAACCGAGGTTATGTGACTTGGCCACAGTGGGTATCTAGTGCAGAGTCAGGATTAGAGTGCAGAAACTGATGGCAAAGCTCAGTCCTTACCTCTTGTGAAACTTATTTTGAGGAGGAATATAATCTCCAAAATAAATCATCCATTTAGAAGAAATAGTCATTTGTCTTCTGTACTTCATTAGTGCATTTCAAGTACATCCTGATACATGGGGTCAGGCAATAAATATTGACTTTGGCCCATACTGAGTATTTATACACACACAAATACATATATATCTATTATATAGTGTGTGTGTGAGAACAAGGAGTCTAATTAAAGAGTTTAATACCAAATATGCAGAATAACAAGAGCTGATGTGTTATTTCAAAGCTCTGCAAGCAGACCGCTGTCTCAGTGTGGACATACTTTCCCACGCCAGCTTGCAGTCCTGCAGCCACCCTGTTACGGAACAGAGTCACGTTGTATTTACCCCCCGCTCCCTCAGCCCCACTGACGGGCATTTTGGGGATCTCACCGGGCAGGATGATACCCAGAGGTAGAAGCCCTCCCAGTACGCATCTCAAATGCCTCACCACAAACCATGCTTTTTCCACAGAATTGCCGTACTCTGGTGATGATATACCCACATCAACACCTACTCTCATGAAAATTTGCAAACATCCTTAACTTTCTTCTGTATTCCTACAATTTTGAACAAATTATGTTCAATCCAAAATAGAAGGAAAATACACCCAGCATACCTTTGATTGTATCTGCGTATGTTCAGGCAAACCCCCGTGTGGCCCTCAGATAAAATTTGAAAAGAAAACTAGAACAGTTGAGCTCTATGTGTTTCCTCTATATGGTTTAAACTTCTACAGTCAAGGAATTTTTTCTTTTCTTGTATTTGTGTGCATGTGTTCAGACTCTAATAATATTTTCTTAGGTTTTCTTGCCAGTTCTGACCTTCTTACTTGGACCCATAAAGCAGACCAGCTCTACGTCTTTTTGCTCTCAGATGATAAAGTGCTCGGCGTTTTAGTCTCAGCTTATCTCATACATTTTGGATTTTAATTATTGACACAAGTGCCTTCCCAAAGCCTGGTTAGTCTTTTGGTATGAAGATTATGCAGGAAAATTAATGATAGAAGAATGCATTTGTCCATCCGTTCCTTTCACTGTGGTGACTATGAGCTCTACAGCTAGGCTATTTTAATTCTATAGAATACATTTGCAATGTCATGTTTAAGGAGGTAAAATATGCTCAGCTTGAGTTTTGTTTTCTGCTATTTTGTGTATCAGAACATTAAGCTGCAGTGTAGAGCAGAGCTTGTGGGGAACCCAGAGCAGTCTGTTACCGTGCTTTATTTTTTGCACTGTCTGCTTCCATTTTTCAATGTTCTGACTTATTGCTGGTTGTTTCAAGGAGCTACAGTGCATCTGATAGTGTATGAACCGTAACTCCCCAAAGCCATGGCGAGATTGCTACTGAAATAAGATAACCCCCTCTAGGCATTAAGTGCACAAAAGTCAAACTTTTCTTCTCAGCGGATTGAAGCCTGGTGCTGATTGACCAAGAAGCACTGCTTTTGCTTAGTTTTTATTTTAATTTAAACGGGCAGTCTGTTAACAGAGGTGGTTGGATGGTCAGTGGGGTACAGATTTATCCCAGCGTGCCTGTACTTTCCGTTCATGGGCTGACTTAAATAACATCGGAAAGCACAGGAAAGCCCCAGACTGCACAGGAATTTAAAAAAACAAAACAAAACATCTTGCCACCCAGGGCCCCAGCGTCCCGGCCTGCTCGCCCGACCCCCGCACCCCCCGAGCCGGGGAGCCGCCCGGGGCCGCGCCGCGGCGCTCGGCCCCTCACCCCCCAGACAAAGCCCGCGGCCCTCCCACCTCCCCCGGGCCCGCGGCCTCGCCCCGAACCCTGCGGAGGGGCCGATCGCTGCGCCCCGCGGCCGCCCGACAACTTCCACCGGGGGCGGGGGGGGAGCGAGGGGCGGCCTGGGGCTCGGCGGCGCGGGCCCGCGGCCAGGCCCACCCCGGGCTGCGGGCCGCCGCGGCGCAAGGTCAGGCGGGGCGGCGGAGCCGACCCCGGCCGGCGCGGACCGGGAGCGGGACCGGGAGCGGGAGCGGGGCCGGGAGCGGGGCCGGGGCGGGCCCCGGCGGATCGGGGCGGAGGCGGAGCCGGTCGGCGGGTGGAGGCCGCGCCTCGGGGGCGGTGTTGCAGAGCGAGGAGGCGGCTCCGGAGCCATCGCGCCTGCCCGGCCGGCGGCGGAGCTCGGCTACAGGGGGAGGGGGGTGGGGGGGCGGCTCGGCGGCGGGTCTGCGGGCCGGGCGGGCCCCATGGGCGGGTGTGTGGGCTCCCACCACGACTCCTCGGGCAGCCTCAACGAGAACTCGGACGGCACCGGAGGTGAGTGCCGGGCCCCGAGGATGGGCGGGCGGGCGGGCCGCCCCCGGCGCCGCGGGGGTCCCCCGGGGCAGGCGCTGCGGGCCCGGGGCCTGCGGCGGGGCCGGGCCCGGGGCCGGCGGCGGGCGGGGGGGGAAACGCGCTGCCCTGGCCGGCCTCGGGGCGCCGCGCCCGGCCCCGGTACGGCAGCCCGGGCCGCAACTTCCCCGGGGCGGCGGGGGTGTGCGGGGGGGGGTGTGCTGGGCACCCCCGGCCGGCCGGCAGCCCCCCGGGAGCTCGGCGGGGCGCCCGGGCGGGCAGAGCCCCCGCCCCGCGGGCGCGGCCCCGGGCGGGCGGGGGGCTCGGCGGCGCGGCCCGGGGGCCGGCGGCTGATGAAATAGGGACAGGCAGGGGAAAGGGCCTGCCTGGGGCTCCCAAACTTTGTTTTCCTTGGGCTCAGCTCCTTGTGGTGTGCGGAAAATAATTCTTCAGATAACTTAGATCCTGGCACTGCAGCGGGTTTGGGATTTTTTTTTTTTTTTTCTTTTGATTCTCTCCAAGAAAGATGGATGCTTTCCTCTAGCCTAAATCACCGGTGCTAAATGGTCAATTTCCAGCGACTTCATGTGCTGGAGCAGCGTGTTCTCACTTGTGTGCAAATGCACACCTATTTGTCATAGCTTATGTGGAAACATTGCTGCAGTGTAAGCGGCCTTTACCATTACATTTTTCTTTACCTAAATCTCTGAATGATTGCTTTTTCAGCGTTTTTAAGTTTGTGGATACCTGATGTTCTCCAGCTGAGCTGCATAGTCATTTAAAGTCAGCCTACCAACAGGACACTTGACTTACAAGTAGCCCTCATGCATGCAAGGTCTACAAATTTCAGGTTGAAAATTGCTGACCTAGGTGTACGTTTTCCCCTGTGCCTTATGGAATACTATTTATCAGTCTGGTTTTATTTCAAATGCCCCAGCTGATGAGTATTCAATCGTATCAGTGACTTTGCTGTCATTCCATAATGTAAAAAAAAAGTAACAGTTGTATCTTAAGCAGCCACCTGCTGATTAATGCCAGATACATAGTTCACATAAATACCAGAAAGTCCAGCTGCTAAGAACTGTATAGGATTTAATCACATCATTGTAATTAAAAGGAATTTTTCAGCTTTGTTAAGTATGAGTCTTCCTTACTCTTCCCCCCTATTAAAAAAGGGAAGAGGTGAGTTATCTAAAGAAGGCATCTGTAGTAAGCAGACTTGCCAGCCAGTAAAAAATGCAAGAGTGTCAAGTGCGGAAAGGACCAGAGCATACTAAAACCCAAAGGAAAAGAATGGCAGGAATCATCACATACCCAAAAAATCTTGACTGAAAAATAGCATTAAAAGCCATGTTGACATTTGTTCGGAAACCTGCTTCAGTAGCTAGGTGATATGAGGTGAGATCATGTCACAGAAATAGCCTCGGTTTAATTTCCTCGCTCTTATCTTGCCTGTGATGTCAAATGAATGAGACAGGAGGGAAAAAAATATCAGAGTTTGGCTGATACTGTGAAATAGTCTTATTACACACTCAGTAGCAGCACGTGAGGTGGGCAGTCTCCATCCAAGTTGTCTAGAGAGTGCTGTCCCGGGTGGATTTACTGGGAGCATGTTTCTGCTTGGTGTTTACATGGCATGACATAGTGCTGCTTTGGAGTTAAATAACCCATTGTGCTTGGTGCATTAGAACATCAGGTAGATTTTTCAAGATGTAAGGGATGTGAAATGCATGTCACCTGGCTAGTGTCAATTCATACTCTAAGGGTTCCTTAAGGTTGTCTCGATAAAGTGAGAAGTGATGAAATTTCAGTTGAATTATGGGCTTCTTAGGACTGTCTTAAACAGTCAGCTACAGTGTGCAGTAGCCTGTTTTGTAACATTACATATCTGTTCCTGCCTCTCAACAAGACAAAAAGGGGGTGTCAGCTAAGCTGGAAGAACCTCAGAATATCTGACTCCCGCGATGTCAAAGCCCAGCCTGCACTAATTCTTAGCTTTACAAATTCTGCAAATGGGCCCACGCCAAGTATGAAATGTGACTTGCTGTCTCAAGGGAGCTTATGTCTTGAGGCATCAGCAACCGAACCAGCTGAAGCACAAGCAAACACGATTTGAAGACTAAACCTGTGCAAAAAGGCAACTTACTCCTGTTTCCCATATAAGGCTCATTTCCTTCAGCTACTGGGCCGTGACCTAGTCTTGTGTATTCGCTTTCAGATTGCTGTCAGTGAGCAGGGCCGAATCCTTTTAAAAGTCTCAGGAAGGTTATTTTGAAACAGAAACATCTCAGTTACAACCAGAGCATTGCCGGTGATGGACTTACTTCAGGGTGGCTTTGTCATTTCCCCAGAATGGAGAAGTTTCTTGGAGAAATACAAGTGGCCATGAGATTGATTAGACAGCAATAGCAGCCCTTGATGCTGCATGAAAGTGGGAGCCAGATCTCAAATCTAATTCATACAGGTCTCAGTCTGTTATAGTGCTGAGTGGAGCCGGCAAAATCTTGCTCAATTTTATCACTGGAGTTGAGGTGAGGATTTATCACATCCCCATATTCTCCTCTGTCCCTTTGTCAATCACTGGTGCTTCCTGTTACCTCTCTTCTGCTCAGCAAAGCTGATGGCATGCCCTGACCACCTGTGCTTCCTTTGTCTTTTACGGTCAGTATTTCTCAAGGTTGAGATGGTTGCAAGTATCCAGAGAGCTGCTTAACATACTCAGATGTGTCTCTGTGTGTAAGTTTGAGTTAATAAAAATTACCATCTCTCCTACACATGTATACCAGCTTATTGCATGTTTCTATTCACATTGACCGAAGCAGGAGGAGTCTGTTCCTTAACAAGAATTAAACAGATGCCGCTCTGCCCATCCTGCTGGAAATGAAATGGTCTTTGCAGATTGGTACCAGCTGTTTCATTATCACTGCTCTTTTTAGCAAGTTTTCATTTCAACAGAATATTGTTGTATTTGGGAAAAAGTTCCTGTCTCAAGGCTTGGTGCATTGTAGTCCAGGAGAGCAGTATTGTGGTGGGTGGGTGTCCTGGATAATGAGATGGATTTACTGATGACTCTTTAAAGGAGATACAAGGAAGAATAAATGATGATGGTTATGTGATTTATAGACACAGGGGTTTTTCCCTCCCCCTCTCTTTAGCTCAGCTGTCTCCAATCAGGTATTCCAAGCTTTCAGGAGCCAAGCATCACATCTCTTCATGCTGTGCCTTGTCAAAGGTGACTGAGTTTCTGCAGGACAGTGAGACTGGGAGGGAGAAATATCTGTTCTCTGGCCACTTACAGGTTATACAACTTTTTCAGTTGTGTATTCAGAAGAGCATTGGTTTTTGAGTTAACTGCTAGTAAACTCTGCACTTGTGCCTGTACATAAGGTTTAATAGCTTATCAGGTATGTTTGGTTTAGCACAGACAGGACAACTTGCATTGCCGATTTGCCATCCGCACAGGCAAGTCCCTTCTGGAGGGCTGCTCTTAAATGTCTTTTCTTTCTTTGGAGGGGAGCAGTGGAAAGGAAAAGAAGAAATATAAATCCATTAATTCTCTTCTGGCAAACAATTACCCCTGTTAGAAGTTGCATATTACTTTGTCTTACTTGATAAAGTTCAGCGAGACAGTTATTTGTGTGGAATAAGGAAAGGGCAGGAAATCCAGTGTCTAGAAGTACAGGCATGACAAGTCATTACAGATTAAGGCTTTTGGCTGCAGCTGTCTGATTGCTGCTGCACTCTCCTTGACATGATGTTCGCCTGCCTGCTGGAGTTCTTATCGCTCTTCTTTGTTATAAAAGACGCTGATTCTGTTTGAAATTTGTCTTCTTTACTGCTTCCCCTATCAACTACCAGTGATAATAGGGACAAGTGGAAATAGGGCTGCACATTTGACTGACATGCTAGAATGGGAGATTATTAAAAGCATAAATTCCTCCTACAGTATTTGATGCAGCGCTAGAGCTTCGTTAACTTCTAGAAAGACAAATATTGTGCTCCACCTCTGCTTTTGATAACTGGACAACAGTTTCTTAAATATTTTCTTTCAAGTGCTGTGCTGTGCTGCATATCACATGTCTAATTTGAAGTTACAATAACTGCTTTCATGGTGCTTCTATGGAAGACTGACCAAGGGAATTTGCATATTAAGTAGTCAGATTTGTTGCTCACAATTGGACTAATACAGCAGGGCTATGCACAGCTTGCACGGGGGGGTTAAACAAGCATCTCATGACTGAGCAGCTAATAGCATTTGGTGCCTACCCCCGGTATTGGAGCATACAAAGCATCTCCCACTTTCAGATTGCATTTTGCAGTGTGTTTTAGCTGTTGACTGCAAGCTGTGATGGTGCATGCCTGCACACAGCACCTTTCTGGGGTTTCTTTGCCATCTAAAGGAGGTAGCTCTAGACTTCAGGTGGTTCCTACTGTTTTGTAATGCAACCTTGAAATACAGTGCTGGATATGTTTTTGCAAAAGTAGTGTTACATCAAAGCTGGCATTAGCTGTTAGATTTTACTGTGGCTTTTTTTTTTTTTTTTTTTTTTTGAAAAGAATAATAAAAGCTTAGCACGGCTCTTAAAACTTGCTCTAAATCTCTCGTGATTTCCACAAGAGTGTGTATGGTTTTTATCAGAGCTTTGAATAAAAGTAGCCTCTAATGACTTGGTTTCTTGAGGGCTGGGCACTCACAGCCTCCTTGAGATTATTAGGATCTGTGCATCTTGTGCTGGGAATGCCTGATAATTCAGTCCGGAGTATTATTCTACTGGAATATCACTTTGATGGTATAACACTTTTAATTTGTAAACTGATAGACTTTGTTTTGTTTTTCAGATGATAACAAAGTAACTCTTAGAAAATGAAATAAGGTGTTATTTTTACTGTTAATAAGGGCTGACAGATGCAGCTGTTCAGTTTCCTTTTTGGTGTTGCTGCTCCATGCAATTGTTTGTTTGGTTTCTAGAGGAAGTGATTTGTTT